TAGTGGAGACACGGTTCCCCATTACATAGTCTCCTGGCTATTTATAACAAAGGGTAAAATTAAAATGAAGCTTTTTGGCTGACACCGCTCCCCACACTCAGGCTGTAGATGAAAGGGTTAAACATGGGGGTCACCACAGTGTACATCACAGAGGCTACAGAGCTTTGGTGGGAAGAATAGTTCATGGCATAACTGAGGTACACCCCAAGTGCTGTTCCATAGAACAGTGAGACCACACAGAGATGAGACCCACAGGTGGAAAATGCTTTATACCTGCTTGCAAGGGAGGACATCTTCATTAAAGAAGAGGCAATCTGAAAGTAAGAGAAGATGATTCCTGAGACAGGAAATAAACCCAGTAGGACAGTTACCACATTTAGAAAGATGATATTGATTAGGGTATCAGATCTGGCCACCTTGAGAACCTGAGGCAGTTCACAAAAGAAATGAGAGATTTCAGTGCCTGTGGAGAAGGTGAGTTCCATCAGGAGGAGAATATGAATCAAATCTACACATAAGATGATGAACCAAGACATTAGAACCAGATGGCCACAGAGCTGAGGGTTCATGATGAGTGTGTATTTCAGGGGGTGACAGATGGCCACAAAGCGGTCATAGGCCTTCAAGGTAAGTAGGAAATCATCCACTCCAAAAAATGTCATAAAAGAGTATGCCTGAGCGAGGCACTCCATGTAGTATATGTCTTTGTTCTGTTCTTGGATATTAACCAGCATCTTTGGGACTGTGATGGAGATGAAGCCAATGTCCACAAAGGACAGGTTACAAAGGAATAAGTACATGGGGGTGTGGAGGTGGAAGGCACAGGTAGTGGCCAGGATGATGAGCAGGTTCCCAAGCACTTTGACCAGGTACATGGACAGGAAGAGTCCAAAGAGAATGGACTGAACTTCTGGATCCTCTGAGAGCCCCAGCAGGAGGAATTGTGAGTGTCCTGTGTGGTTTGCTTCTTGCATGTCTCTGTTTTATCTTCAGGAGAAGGAAGAAACAGCAATGTTCAATGAGCAGCCATTGACATTTCAGGTTGTCACTCCACAATATCTCTCCAAGGATCTCATCCATTCACTATTGTGTCAGTGGATGAGATTTGTTCATTCAACAAATTGTAGCTCATTTCTTTTTCAAGTGTGTATAACAATTCACACTTCCTTTAACGCATGAAACATTTTTTTCTTTTTATCAATGAATGACTTGGTTTAATTTCCAAATTTTAACTTGTGTAAATGATTTGTTTGATATCTCTTTTATTAAATGATTTAAAATTTCATGTGTTTCTTTGACAATCTCTCTACTTCTTTATTGTACTACCTTTAGAGTAGTGATTAAACAGTGATTCTTAAACAAATGTTATTCTATAATTTGAGGATTCATTGTGTTTTTTCATTACTATATATTTTTTTCTAAAAGTGGTTACTACTGATATACTGTAAAAGTTAAAATCATGCTATCAGTCTCAGAGGGAATCTCAGTAAAAGACAGCAATCATTTTGACTATTACCATTCTTATTTTCTGCTTTTATTGTATTATTTTGTATCTGTAATTCTCTCAAAGTATTGTACAGCGCTGTGATTTTAAAACTGGGTTCTTGCATCAGACTTTCTTGGATAAAATCTTGGTCATCCAACATAAAATCCTTGTTGCCGTGAAGAAAGAATTCAAACTCTAATCATTACATATACCACATATCTTCATTAGAAACAGTACATGTTCACTACATAGCAGAATTAAAGAAAATTAAGTAAAATGATGTTTTTGTTTTCCAAAATTTCCTGTCTTAAATGAGCATATCTTTAAATCAGAATTATATTCTCAATGTCTCAGTAAATATGTCTTGCATATATCTCATTTACCAATATCTCATGAAACTGTCAGTCACCATAGGAGGGAATTCATATGATAATAAGTGCAATTGGCTTGTTACCTTT